AGAAACAACTACTTATCCTTTCTTGCATAGCATATTTTGGTATTTTGAGTCCCACCTTCCTCAGCAGTGATTTGTCAGATTCCAACATTGTTTCTCCTTTTTTCACTTAAATAAAAATTTGGGACAAATAATGGATGTATTTTTGATACTTAAATTAACTCCCTGCATATCTTACTCTTTTTGATTTTGCCAAACACTTATTTTTTCTAAATTTGATTTTTATTTTATTTTGAAATTATAAACTGAATCAGAGAAATCTAGATCAGCATTGTGAAATCAGATAAGACAAAGCACAATGTATTTTTCCGTCTTTCGCCATTCTAATATTAAGCACTACTGAGCTCGCATTTCCCAATAAATAACATATAAATTTTCGGAGCTTATATTAAATTTGAAACTATATTGTTGTATTAAATTTAAAATAATATCGGATGAATTTTCAGCACTCAACAACCATTTAAATCGAATACATATATAATAAATAAAAAAGGTAAATAAAAAAAGAATAAAAAAGATCATGCTGCTGAAATCATTTAATTAAATAATATAAATTTTTTAAATTAAATAACATAAAATTTTTAAATTATATTTATTTAATAAATAAGAATCATATAAAATTTTTCTAGAGGGACGTGTCAAGATGTGAAATGTGTATAATAATTTTTTCCAGTTCTCAGTTCAATCTAAGAAGCATCACATTTAGTTAAAAATTAAAATGCTTAGATTAACAAAAGAATATTCATATAAGTCTTATTCTAGCGCAAAAGCTTGCTCAACGAACTTTTTAATCATGTATGCTCATTTTGTCAGCATTTGTTTAATCTTATAAGTAAAGTGATCAAAGTGAGATATATTATATGATATCAGTGAAAGATCTAACAGAGGATTGAATTTTAGTCTATGATGAAGAAATAAATTAAGAAATATTTGGGAAAAAATGTTGCAACACATGTACCACATGATCTTCATTTCTTTTGTATTAAGCTTTATGGCAGCTGTATTATTTAGTTTCCGGTTGTCTGCCAAATGTATTCATTTTATAATAAACTAATTGTCAAGCAAGTGGAATATGTTTCAATTAGTACAAGCACTTAAATTTAAATAATCTTCACTCATTAAATGTCACATTTTTATATAAGTAATATCACATTACCGAATCGTTATGGTGAGGAGGAACGATATATAAGGAAAAAATGAATAAGGAACGTATTTGAACGCATATAAGGAAAAAAAGTACAGCTTATGATACAAATTTTATTTCCACTTCAATTATTTTGACGAATAATTGAGAACCTTGTTTTTATCTCAATTAATTTATTTCTTAACGTATAATTTCACAGAACATTTATAAATTTTATAAATTATGTAAGCTGTCTTGAAATAATTCCTCGAAGTCAGTTGTGTAGGGGTTTTTTCTATTCGACATTCACATGATAGCCCTATTCCATTCAGTAATTGAAAGGGGCTTGAGAGTTTATCACGGTTTTCGCCTTTAGAAAAATGCACGTTTTTTGTCAGAAATCATAGACAAACCTCATGGCCTATGAGCTAAGGGTATGCTAACAAAACAAATATAAAACTGGATTAGGAAATCTTTTCTATTGCTAAGACTTTCGAGCAATATGAAATATTTGTTAATGTCATAAAATCAATAAAGTTCTTTTCAGAACTGACGAATTTTATTTGCGTTGGTTACCAATGTTTAATACAACAGTGTTAGAAAACATCATATCTAGTGAACATCATTTCCACAGAAGAACCTTGAAGATAGTGTCCAGCAATGTTGGACAGTGCTAGAGAACGGGGCTTGGATTGTGAAATCCTCCTGGAAAGTACACTTTAAAAATAAATTTAATTAATTATTATTTAGATAATTCCATATGTTACACATTGAGTGACACATTCCCTTAAAATAATTTTTATTATATTTGCTAATCTTACACCATTTTTTGTTATTTAGTTAGGATTTACTTCGCAATCAAATATTTGAATACATTAGAAACGTCATAATTGCAAATGTTTGTATGTACTATAAACATATAAACATATTATTATAATTGTTTTACATAAAATTATAATAACAAATGTATAAAAAAATTTACTTTATATACAAGAAGCTTATCTTAGAATTTTTATTGGACACATTCTTCATACTTTCCTCATTATTTTGTATTAATATAGATAGAAATGAATGGAAAATATTGCATTTAGCATTTCAACCATTTATGGTTATGAAATTCCGCAGAAAGCATCGGTGTCTTTTGCGGCGTTAAAGGCAAAGTCTTCCAAACACGACTCACTTCCAAATAATAATTTTTTAAATTTGCTTCATTCGCAGTAATATAACAACAGTGGAAAATAGATATTCACTAATGAAATTTCTTTAATTTACAAAACCAATTAGTGACAAATTTTTGAATATAAATGAAAAAATTTTTTTAATTACTATTCTGTGGATTTTATGTTTTAGTACAAGTATAATTCCGATAATCTAACAGATTCTTAGTAACTCTTAGACTATTTTCAATAATTAAAAAATACCAAACTTATTTTTACCTGAAATTAGACCATCAAAGAAATATATAAAAGGGGCAGCGATTTTCTATTTGCGTCAAAGCTTAGGCAGAAAAAATAAGGGAGTAGAAACCAAAAGGGTCGGAGTAAGGAGCCTCCTGGTTGATTAAAAATAAAGGAACTAATAAAATAAATAAATACTAGTAGGCTGCGCCCCCTGTTCGCTGACGCTTGCCAACCCCCGAAAATTGCTACGCAATCTTATATGGTTTGCTTCGCAAACCAAGCTCGCTACTAACTTAGGTACATTGCAAATGCTCAAAATTCAAGGAATTCAAAACAATCTTTCAATGAATAACTAATAATAACAATAATAAAACAAATAAATTTGTGATATAAATCGAAAATCGTCAAATAAATTCGTAAAAAAAAGCGCTTTAGACAAAATACTGAAATAGAGTTCTATCGACAAAGACTACTCACTTCTGCCTAGCTTAATAGTATGAGATTGCCGCAACTGATAGGGTGAAGTACGGAAGAGATCACATTTGATGAGAATGCTCTCTCTGGTTATTTCAGTTTCCGTTTTTAAAAGCGCTATATGTTGAGTCACATTAACTAGATTTGGCATGTGACATTTTTAGCGGCAATCATTGGTCGATTTTCTAACTTTGCCATTCGGGGAGTTGTAATGAGGCTTTTTTTTGTAGCCGTGTAAGAGAAATATATATTGTCACTCTTAAGCTATTTATCTTTAATAAAAATTTATTTTCTCAGGGAGCTGCAATACTAGTTGTTGAGTTCGAGATTATTTAGGTAGTTTTTGAGTTTCCTGTTCTGGCAACCTCTTCTTTCTTTTATATATATTTTGACGTAAATAAAGTTAAGTTTCAGTTTGTTCTATGTGATACTTTCAGTCTAATTTACTCCCAACAAACCCCATTATTTGGTGTCGAAACCGTACGCCCCACGAGCGGCTTGGTGAGGAGGCTGGTGGGAACGCCTAATAGGAGTTGTCAAGCGATGTCTACGAAAGGTACTCGGACGAGCACTTCTTGACGAGGATGATCTGTCTACGGCCCTCATTGGAATAGAAGCCGCTCAGAACAGTCGACCATTGGTACAGAAAGGTAGAAAAGATGACGGTTCCACAGCCTTAACAACAAGCCATTTCCTGACAGGACGAAAACTAATGGCCATTCCATCCATCCCAAATAACAACACAAAGCTAAAAAAAATCTACAAGCAGCAGCAGGACTTACTTGACTGCTTTTGGAAAAAATGGCCCAAGGAATATTTGCTTCAATTGCGGTCACTTCATCAAGTTGGTAATCAGGACAATATCATTAACGTCCGAATTGGCGATATTGTACTCCTACAAGAAGACGTCCGACCACGGCACACGTGGAAGAAATCTAGAGTGGTGAACTTACATGAAGGACGAGATGGAAAAATAAGATCCTGTGAGCTGAGAGTTAATGGTCACTATATAACCCGCCCGGTAGCTTTGGTCATCCCCCTCGAGGTCGACCAGGGAGGGGAGGATGTTGAGTTCGAGATTATTTAGGTAGTTTTTGTGTTTCCTGTTATTGCAATCTCTTCTTTTTTATATATATATTTTGATGTAAATAAAGTTAAGTTTCAGTTTGGTCTATGTAATACTTTCAGTCTAATTTACTCTCAACAAACTCCATTAATAGTCATCAAATTACGATAATATAATCGAATAAGTAGTTATCTCCCTAACATTTACAAATTAATCATACGCTTAAAAATAAATCATATAATTTTTTTATATGATTAATGCATAAAGTGTTGAGCATAATTTGTATGTATTAAATAGATTTTCTGTTCAAAATTAATTTTTATGATTTAAAGTAACTTTAAAGAAAGGAAAAGAAAACTTTTCCCTAGCATTTCTATATCTTCTAGCTCATTCTTAATCAAAATCTGCCTCTTCAGACTTGATAATTTCATGAGCATTGACGTGAATTAATTAGCATGATTAAATCCACGTAACAAATTAACGAGAGTATTGAGGTAAGCTTTGATTAAAAAAAAGCAAGGCAAATTTAAAACAAAGATTGCAACTCTTAAAAAAAACAATAAATAAAGACTTATTTTCACGGGAAACTGCAAGGCTAGTCATTAAATCACAATAACAAAATCTAATAAGCGATTGCCTTCACTTCTGTTCAGGAAATTCTCAAACCTTCAACTTGACTTTCCCATTTCAACTTACTCCATTAAATAAATTCAATTTCTATTGCTTTTAAAACCCCAAACTAGATATCAATAAAAACCGTAACTGAAGACACGGATCTAAAGGTAATAATCCAGTAAACTGACGAAAAGAGAAGTAAATACATCCATGAGAACTGGGTGAAGACACTGAATGATATAACCTTTCATTGCTTTAAATATGTTGCCATCATAGGACGTCATTAATAACGAGATAGTCTATTGCTACTTTGAATTTGTTTCATTGAAACTTCCCGTTTGGTAAAAATTGTTGTTATAAATGTCTGTGATTACTGGCTAGAAGCCCATTCCGAAAGTATTAGAATAGTAAAAATGAACTCCAAGTTGATGTATCTAGCTTGCTTATGTGCTTTTCTAGGGTTCCCGTCATGTAACACTCTTGATGGTAAGTCCCTGTTTATGCTTCAAAGATTCATATTAATTTGAATCTTATGCTTTATCAAAATTTTGTGATTAAACAAAATCTATTTTTTGAAAGAGTACTTATGAGTAAAACGAAAACTTAATTAAATCGTATCGTTAATCAAAATGTATTGATTCATGGAACTCTGGTGGTTAATCAATATCTGCTAAGTTTAACCTGATTATTGTATCAACTTTTATGGATGTGAAAATTCTTAAATTTTAAAGTTATTAATAAACATTTAGAAACCAAAAATAATAAGTAAATAAAATCATGTTTTTAATGTTACTTATGTACTATAAATGTTAGCTCTAAAAATATTGATTTACATTTAGCTATAAAATTTAAAAACGTAAGAATTATTGGGTTGAATTATTGGTTTTGGGTATCACCTCTACGGTATTTAATTAAGGTGTAGGATTTAAACCACACTGTTGCTTTATGTTAACATAAATTTATTTTATTTTGTCCAAATAGCTTTGTTGAAATTGTCTCTAGACACTCGCTATTATACCAGACAACAGCAAGATGGTTTATTTTCGCTCAAGTTAGTCAAATCACCTGGTGATGAAACCTTTCCAACTAATGAAGCCTTCTTAAAAGTTAACATAATTATTTTTTACAGTTTATTCATATACTGAACTGCAATAATGCATATATTTTTAATTCCTGTTGTTTCATCATAGTTTCTTTTTTTTATCCTTTCTTTCTTTAACTGGTAATGTGATGTCAGAAAAACACTTACCCTAATATTTGTCTTAGCAGAAATCTCAGTGCTCACATCATTGATCAACTTGAATCCAAGATTCTATTTGCGAATATATAGCGTCTATTGCAATAGGAATCGGTATATAAATATCAATGTAACTTCAACTTCAATATCAATTTCTCTCAATTTGAATTTAACTATATTTTTATCCAGATAGCGAAAAAGATACAATAGCATGAAGAAGTTCAGAACATAATCATGGATAAGTAAGAAATTCTCGAACAGTTTATCCTTATTTTAGCTAGTCGTTTTATTCTAGGGAAAAGAAACATTATATCTCCTACCCTTGCACACTGTAAAACAAATTTACGATAGTTGACTTAAGCATATTAAAAAATATTCAGATAATTTATAGCGTTTTAATCTATGTTTACTTTTAAATTAATGTTATTCATCATTTTTAGATATTTTCCAAGAAGTGCATGGACAGAAAACAGAGAAAGATCTTCGCCAACATTTATTCAGGAACTATGACAAACTTGTTAGACCTGTTAAAAACTCGAATGAAAAGATCACTGTTTCTCTTGGAATTTCACCTATTCATCTAAGAGATTTCGTAAGTATTTTGTTATTAACTTCAAAATAATAAAATACTAAACTCTAATTTTAGAATTTTTAAGGGAAATCAGCTCACAGTTTCTAATACTGTCATTTAATTACACTGCAACTACACTGTTATTTAAGCTTCTTTTCAAGCATATTAAAAAGCCGAGCTAAAGTATTTCATATTACAAATTCTACCATGTAAATGATAGACGTTATTTTAGTTAAGCAGAAAGATTATAAAAAATTGAACCATCATTTTTTAACTTAGGATTTCTGAATTATGATGTAATGTGAACTTATATTATTAGTGGTAATATTGTTAACAGTAAAAGAATATCAGAGTCAAATTACGGTGAATAGAACCGGTCAGTACTTTTCACTGTAAAATCCAATTTTACCGTCAGCTTTTTATGAGCAAAATATTTGATCTATCTTCTGGGATAATATATCCCGAATAAATAAGCAAATCACAATATTTTAAAAATTACTTAATTTTATTCTCATGGTGAAGAAACTGTGTTCAATATTTAAATATTCACTCGATATAAGTTTAAAATGTACTCAAAAGTATCATTTATCATATAATCAAAGGTATCGTTTATCAAAATACACTCAAATTTATCATTAACAGTTCCACATATCATGGCAATGATCTACTCAAAAGTATCATTTATCATATTTCCTTGTCAAACGCATAACAAAAATGATATTTTCTAAAAAATTAAGCACCAAATAATTTTATTTATTTTTTTCCTTCAGGATGAAAAACACCAAGTTATTGTGTTGGAGACATTTACGAGGATGGTAAGTTTTATCAACATGTATGACTAATTTTCACAAAAAGAAGCTTAAATTTATTAAATTCTTTGATGTTCATTATTTAAACATTTACGTTGATTGGACTAAATATCCTCTCCTCATTATTTTCAGAACTTATATATTTAGTACACTAAATTCTGTAACGTTTAAGAATGAAAGGAGATATAAATACATATATGCATATTTTGATAAGAGTGCGAAAACAATAGGAAAAATAAATTATTTAATTTTTGTCTTGCACAAAAGTATGTCATAAATAAGCTCCATGATTTTATATTTTGTGACATTCGAAAACTTCAAAAAAAAATTTAATTCTTTGAAGAATTATTTTTAAAATCTGGTAATAAAAATCGAAGGTATTTAAACCATTCATTAGATAATTTTATTGTTTGTATGATAATTATTTATCGAAAATTCTTGTTTTCAAGATTATAGCATTTATTACCAAACATTTTGTTAAAAATAAAAACTTAAACTTAAACATAACTGTACAAATGGTTTTTATGTCAAGCCTTAAGGTATCGTGATAAAATTACCAAATTTTACCTCATTTACCAATTTTATCATACATTAAAAAACCCTATTTTATTGTTAATTTTACAAAAATCTTTACCAAAGCATATCGGTAAAAATGACCAAGCTTTTTGGTGTTGCCATAGATCTAGAATTACTATTAATTTTACCATATTCTTGTAATTTTGACTATATTTTTTTTCTCAATGTTGGTGGTTTTTTTTATCTTTTCTGTTAAACTTTCAAGATGATTATTTTAAAAAGAAAAACAAGGAGCAAAAGAAGCATTTATTCATTCCATTAACATTAGAAATAATAAAATCGTTTTATAATACTATATTTTTTTCAAAAAATGATTTTAAAAGCTCAATGTTTTGAAAACAGTTATTTATATCTTTTTTTAAAATTTAAACAATTTGAATAATTTATATCGTTCAGTTAACTAAGAATAATGATGTACTAGCTGATGCATGCTGTTAAAAAAATGCTATATGAAGTTTATCTACTAGTTCAGTACCACAAGATCAAGCCTGTAGAGCAGGCAAACGATAAAAGAAAAATAGTTCGCAGTGTTCATTTGAATATTTGAAATTTGTAATGATTTTTTCTTACTCGAAAGTCTCTCTTCATTTTGTATAATTTCCATTTAATTTAATTCCCATTCCACTTTAAAATATGCAGTGGATAGCATTTTCAAGTTTTACTATTTAACAAATAAGTCAGATTTAAAAAATAAAAATCAAGTTATAGTTGTAAAACGAAAATATAAATCAAATAGAATGACGAAATTATGGCAACAACTTTCTACCATGAGGACAATCTAATAGCTAGCAATAAGATAAACGAATCAAAATTTTAAAAAGAAAAAAAAACAAGTAAAGACCGTGAAAGGCCCAACTTAACAAAAAAATTCTAAAATCCTATTTCCTGCTTAATCCTTTCTATTGCGAAATCCTATTTTCTTTCATTGGTTGCATATATCTATAATGATGAGCTCTTGCTCTATTACGATGAGCTGATCACCACAGAATTAGATAGCAGATAAGTAATAATTTTTTTTATTTTGTTTGTCTTCGCGAAAATGAGACGTTACTCCAATCTCTTAACATGCTCAAAGATTTCAAAGGTTATTTTTTCTTTGTTTTCTCTTCTCCAACTTGAATAAAAAATTTTAAAGTATTTTATTTAAGCTATGATACTTTGTTCAATATAAGAAAATGAAATACAAATAAGTCAGTGTTTTAGTCCATTTAAATCCCATGATTTTTATGATTAGATACAGAGTAACGTCGGTTCAAGTTTAATCATCTAGTTTTAGAAAAAAGCAATAAAAAAAATTTTTAAAAAAAATATCGGAGAAACAACAGGAATTTTTAACGCATGATAGCAATAAAAGCACGAGACGTAATAAAATCATTTAAACACTCTCAAGTACTAAATGCTTGCAATAAGTGAATTTAGACAGAATATATGCATTGTAATTTAGAAAATGTGAAATATAAATAAGCACACTTTTAATTCTGTGTTACAGTTCCTTTAAAGCCCATGACTCTTATGATTAGATAAAGAGTAACGTCGAAGTTTTATCCTATCCTATCAATAAAAGCACGAGACACAATGAAATCATTTGAGTACTTGCCAGTGACGACATTGTAGGTAAATAGTGGAATTTGTCGATTCAGAAGCCAATTAGGTTCAACACACACACAGAGGGAGTTAGAAATAATTGAATTTAGACAGAATATATACATTGTTAAAAAGTTTCGAGCGTCTTGAACCATAAAATTTTCCACAACATTAATAAGACGCTAGTGTGAACCATAATTAATTTGAAAAATTTTTCAGAAAGTACAATTTGATAATAAACGATAATTGTCTAAAGGGAAAAATAATAATTTTGTTTGTAATTGATTTTATGCTATTTATACTCATATTTTCAGAATTGGACAGATGATTACTTAAAATGGGATCCGTCTCGTTTTGAAAATCTGTCAGTACTTAGACTACCATCTACAGAAGTATGGAGACCAGATATTGCCGTTTATGGATCGTAAGTGGATTCATTGATTTTATTTCTATTTTTGAACTATAATTATTCCTGTACTGAATAATACTTTTTTATTTAATAGACCAGAGCAGTCCGTTATGGCCCCTGTGCCTTTTACCAATGTGCTGTTGTATAATTCTGGAACAGTTCTTTGGGTGCCGATGTTTACAATCCGAAGCCGCTGCCCATTGCTTAAAGCTAGTAAGAAAATAGTAACGTGCAACATTCAGTTTGGATCATGGACATACGATGAAAATACTCAAGATGTAGCACTCTTTAGTGACAAGGTAATATCTATTTAATTTAAATTCAAAGGAAGCAAATTTTTTTATTGTGTTTCCTAAAAAATATTTCTTCTTGCGATGTACAGTATGCCTATAATTAAAGTTGATCTCCGTGAGCTGCCTTTGACAGAAAGAAGGATTTTATGAAAAATAAATAAATCATGGCATAATGAAATGATACTATGCAAAGTTTGTGGTGTAATATCTTATCAAAAATTATGTTAAATAACCTTAACAATTGTGGGAGAAAACACTTTATTTTTGGTTATTACACTAAATCGAGAGTTCATATATAATTTAAAGAATGATATTTAAATCTAAATACTTAAAATTGAACAAACTTGCACGAAACTCTCGCGCTTTCACACCACACGAGAATTATTTCTACGTTCGAAAAGCACCAATGTTGGCTTGCTTGCTGTTGTCTTCTATGCTGAACTATGCATCAAGAGAAGCAAAAATTTGTCATTAAGGTATGTATGCTTTTAGATGTGTTATAAGAATAATTATATATTAATTTTTAATTCTCTGGGAACCGTAATTTTTTTACAGTTTTTATTATTTTCTTATTATCGTTGTTAAACAGCTGACCCGATTTGGATGTTACGACTATCAATGTTCAAAATCCGAAGACTTGAAAATTTGAACCCTATCTAGAACACAAAGGACCACCAGGATCAACAATTGAGACAAACTAGAACTTTTTGATGGATCTAGCCCTCATTTGCATTATGTTTAGAGGAAAACCATGAAAACCTCCCTCCGTTAGCCTGACGGAAAGACGACTCTAACCCATGATCTGTCTACCACTGAGGATATCTTATACCAACTCTGTGGTCTGCGTGAGCAGATAGATATGCTAAAGCTTTTGCAATGTGATAGCTTTACCTAACGTATCACAAATATATACAAAAAACTTATATGAATAACAATTCGGCCTCTCAGATCCCCATATTTGAATCTTTGTGACTCAGAGCTACGGATCCGTCACATTTGACTTCGAAATTAACAATAGCGAAGCACGGCTCGCGTGCTTTATTCCCCAGCATATACTGTTTCCACAATTATACATGCAATTTCTTGTTTTTTTAATGGTAGTAGATTTAGTGAACATTATAGTGAGCATTTTTTCATTAAATGATGTTAGTTGTCATTAGTATGTATTGTTTGAAAGTTTTGATAAATGATTTAAAGGTGGTTTCTGTGCCTGAATTTGTTTCTGTGGCTAATAAAACTTTATTATGGATTTCCCAGCTTTTTTTATGAAATTTTACAGCATTGTTCGCAGGCTATCTAGAATGCCAACCTTGTACTTTTGGGCACTTTTACCGAAAAAGAATAATAGAATAACTGATTTAACATGCATCCCAAAATAATTTTCTCATCATATTCTTTGGTAATTTTTAATAAATAAATTACTTTTAAAGTTATTTTTTCCCTTTAAATTCTTAAATTGAACTAAAATAAACAAAGGTCTAACAATATTATCTTCTCATCTTATTAATGTATTCAATGAATGAAAAAGTTTACAGAATGTCAAGAATTTACTTGTATGTCACAAAATTATGAACTTACTCTTTATAATGTTGTTGTTTCTAATGCCCGTGGCCAATACCAGCAAGCCTACTTGGTGAAAGCAAACAAATTTGAGATGGAGGGTGTATTTCTTGTTTTTGAATTAGCGCCACCTATAGTCAAGAATACGACTTCAGCCACACACAAGTCACAGTCCGTTAAAAGGGAGGACCCATTCATACATCCATTGATTCCACCACAGATCTGTTGACCTCAATCAGAGAACAATAATTCGTCAATTCAGTATTCCTAGAGCCATAAATTGTTAATTAATCTGAAGAACTTTGCAACCAGACAAAGTTAACATGCACCAGTCACCATTTACTAAACGGGAAGTCTTCGGCTGGCGGGAATCGAGCTCACTACCTCTTGGATAAGGATACAATGCCCCACGAATCAGGCTATCCCGGCCTTTACAATGAAATGATAAATATTTAAAGAACAGTTTAAACTCTTAAAGATTGGATGACCACTTCAAACGTTTTTTAAAAAAATACGCACTTCAAATGCATTAATTCAGCTGTTTCATACAATGTTTTTTTGCAGGTTGATTTGTCTGATTTTGTTGATAACAATGCCAACTGGAAACTGATCGATGTTGTGTCAAATAGGGTAGCCAAATATTACCCTTGTTGCAAAGAAGCATACCCTGTGGTTAATTTTAACGTTACTTTAATGAGGAGGAGTAGAAGTGAGCTTCAATCAAACGGGGTTCTTGATGAGGAAGACGTGTCCATCAATTTACAAGATGTCGTTCCTTCTGATTTCTCAGAGGCTGATAAATTGCTAAGACGCTGAGTAAGTATTTCGATGATATAACTGTATTAAATTATTTTGCTCTGTTTTAAGGAACTAATAGTGTTTGATGCTGAAGGGATAAATAATAAATTTTTTTGCATAGTATGTATGCAATTAAATGATTTTAAAAAGACTGTTTTGAAATTAACTAATAATTTTGTTTTCATCAAAATCTATGTACATTTTTTGTATGAAATGAACAGCGTTAAACATACTACTTTCATAAAATTTGTGGAGGTTTTAGGAGTGGAAAATGGCATAGAAAATAAAATTACTTTCTCGTGTTTCTTTCGCCATTCGAGAAACTTTCACTTATTTTGCTATTTTTCTCCTTTTAGTTTGCTGTCTGTTTGTCTGCTTTTGCCATAAAGTGGCCAAATTTCGATTGACAATGAATTAATTACATTTGAAGTGCTTGATAAAAGATCTATTATTGTATTGTCATCGAATCTTGTATTGTCAAGAGCGAAGCTCTAGATAAAGTGAAATGAATTTAGTGTTTAGGGAAGTGATAAAATTTTTGTTAAAAAATTTTTTTTGGTTACACTATTATAATTTGCATCAAAAAATTACAGTAAAGTTACCGAAAGCAGTCTGTCCATCCAATTAAGGATAAAGTATACGGTTAACTACAATTCTTTACTTTTATAGGGGTGAAACTGTTTACAGCTGGTATGATTTTAAAAAGCCTTGAATACAGAACTATAAGACTTTCTAACCATTTATAACTATCATAGTTTTTAAACCATAGAAATGTTATTTCTCATGATATTGGCGTTCATTTATGATAGGCTTTTCGTAAGGTAATTGACATTGGAATTAAGTTCTGGTTTGGTAGTGTTTTTTCAAGCAAATTGCGGAGTGTAGCTTAATTAGTTTATGTTTGTGGTGCTGCATATCTATGCATAATAAGGTGATACGTATTCCTATAGTCCAGGGTCACAAATTGAGGTTTTCGGGTAGATGAAAATTCTGAATATGTTGAAGGAATGGAAAAAATATTGTGGTGTTAACAATTGGATTTGAATCTCAGTTCAACCGATAATGAGATTGACAAATAAGCTCTCTCGACTGCGGCATATTTCCGACGATGAGGAACTAAGTGGCTTTATATAGTATTCATCACACTCTTAAAACTATAAGATAGCAGGCATCCGCTTACGTGTTAGTCATTTGATGAAGGAAAATAAAAAATATTAAATCATAATCTTTAGAATATTTTTTAGTTTCAAGTTTTCGAAGAATGTGCACTTGATTCTCATTGGTTGTGGGCCTAGTTGGTGCGGATAAAATTCGGTTAGTTTTACCGTTGTGGTTCGAAATAGTCAATAAAGGGTTTGAATATTATCTTTTTTTATAGTTATGTGACTCTTTCGGTGAATATTGTAAAAAAATAATAATGAAATAGAAAAAATAACAATTTAGTCATCGTTTCCGAGAATTCTCTAACTGTGTATAGAAAAGAAAACGAGTTCAGGTAAACGTGATTAAAAATATCAAATTACGAGTTATTGTAACAAAAACAGCCTTCTTGAGTTCTACAAAGGACGTGTAAAGAATTTAGAAAGGACGCACGAATACGGGTAATATGAACAAAACTAAAATTATGCTAGTTATACTTATGCATAATTTATACATCTATATAACATAAAAACGTAATGTTCCAATATAGTATTCCATTGTTGTAGGTGCATTTTTATTGGACGGAAAATCACATGGTAGGATCCAGTTTTCTCACTTTGATTTACATATTGTTTTGGTTGTCATCAGCATAAAATTAAGAAAAGTTATAAAAGAATTATTTTCCTAAAAATATTTTAGTATCCTTAATTTTGGTAATAATAGCAATACTTAATAATACGAGTATAGATAAAAAGTTATTTACAGCAACTGTTATTACTACATTTTTGGTTCTGATTGTTTTCTAAATTAATAGTCTGAAACTAATTTATTTTTTCTTACTTTTTTCTTATTTTTTTGCGCAAATTACACTAATAATTATATAAATTACAGTTAAAGAGATTCGTTTAATGATTTAGAACTTAATGTTCAGCTTCATGCGCTATATGATACCTGAAAAACTTGTATTTAATATATCCGTCAGTTTGGTAAGCGAATCAACTCACCAAATCTGGTATAACAATATACTTTTAATTTTAAATGTTATTTAAAAAAATGATCACTTAGAAATATTTCTTATGTTCACTAATAGATCTTAATCATATAATAAGTGAAATATTTGGACGTGGGAGCACAATTATAAACAGTAGCAGGTGCATATATTTTAGTGCGTATATTTTGAGCGAATAATTTCAATTTTCGTACAAAATCTGTTTTCTGCTAAGAAAAAACAAATATTGCAAAGTAATCATCGGAGTTGGTAAACGTTAATAAATGAAATATGTTAGAACTTAGATTTTTTTTTTTTTTGAATAACAACTGTTTTCTCAAAAATATTCTTTTTGTTAAGAATTAACGAAATCAGTAAAATGTACTTACATTGACATTTTACTTCGGAAATTTTAAACTTTATTAATTTTATTGATTTGTTAATATTTAACTTTTGGAAATATCTTTCTATTAGTGTTTGAAGAAATTTACACAAATGAGGATGACACTGCAAATATATTCTTAAGATGTGAACATGGAAATTAGCTTTCGTAAACTTTAAATGGAGTTTTTTCAAAGTATTATTATTCTTAAATAAGCTAGAATTTACCCTTCCCGGTTTAGCATTATTGGTACAATTTCCATGCGATTGCATGTAGCCTTTTGTCTCGAATCCTTTTCCCGGATGTGTTGAAACAGTTAATGTTGAGTTCATAATGAAATAAATTTATTACGTGATAGCAAAAAATCGACTTGAAATTTCGAACTCAATAAAGTTTAATACAATTCAATCCTCCTAAGATTCAGCTTTAAATAGTAGCTGTAAATACGATTTTTATTTAGAAATAGGTTGCTTGGATTGCAAATCGGATAAAAGTGCTTGAATATACATATTTTTTCATAAAACATTAAATTAACTCTTTATTTATTTTTAAGTACTTGGCAAAAAATGACTAATTTTAATTTTTAGCATTTGTAGGATATTTTTACAATACGGAGCGTCAAAAAAATGGACCTCTATGAATAACTTTTGTGCTAATGATGGAATCCTCCCGTTCTATTACTCATTTTTAATGTTTCCAGGAGTAACTTTAAATATGCTAATTAATTAGTGCGGACGATATTTTAAATTGCGAAATCAAACACGAAAACATACTTTCTCTGAATAAACATACCTTTTCTGTTGACGGATTTGGATTTCTGATTCCCAAAATTTAGGATGTAGCCGCAATCTGGGAAATATGGTCTCTATAGTTTGATCAAAAGAGTGATCCAAAGTTTGGATCCCTTTATGTTGATTTTACTTTTTTGCGTATTTCGTCATGTCTCGAGAACTTTTTAAGGAAAATGAAAAATCTTTGAACACAATTATAAAATATGCTTATCCAGATATGCAGAAAAAAGTTGCCTGGCAAAAAATAAATTTTAATAAATATTTATTATTTTTTATTATCTTATTAAGTAATAGTTGAGAAACTTTGAATTGTATAGTATTTTGCTTCATTTTAATAAATGTAATTTACATGGCAAAATACAAAATTTGAACAAAATCAGTCAAACAGTTCCTGAAACATCAAATCATGAAAAAAAAACCTTTCTTAAAATTCAATTTTTATTCGATTCGATTCCCACCCATCCCCTCAAACCATTAAGATTGAGTCTTTGAACATAAAGATCTGATCATTTGACTGAATAATCAATGTGTGTGGTCCATTTTTTGTTGCGCATTGAACATTTACTTGAAATTATGTAAATAGTAATTTCTTAAAATATGTGATAAATTAAAGAAATAAGTTATTATATCAGAAGTCAAATTTGAATATGTTCTTTTACAGGGTAGCAAGATTTGATCAAATTTCTGACGCATCTTTTATTGATGGAGCTCCAATGTAATGAATGTAAAAGAAATTTTTGAAATAAAATTTTTATATTAAGGTTTAGATTATATTTTGTTGTTTTTACACGACATTATTTTCAAAAATGATTAGTTTTAGGGATACATTTCTTAAAACTCTAATATCAAATATGATAACTCAAGTTGAAGGTATGGAGCAAAAACAATGTTATTTCAGATTCACAAGTTTTTGGTGAAAGCTAAAGGAAATTTTAAAAAATAGAATTAATTCATATAGTTTTTCCAAACGCTTATTTACTACTTTCGTCTGAGGACAGATGCTATATTAGTCAAATATACATTTAAAAGTTTATTTAATTACTATCCTTTTATTCTGGAGGATTCAAATAAAATTCTCGATTTGAAATAAAATGTAATTCAGTAATAAATAATTTAAAGAATAATAAAGCTCTTGAGTTAATATACATACCTCACATACAATAAATTTAAAAAATCTACATTTTAAAATGTTATCTTCACATAAAAGTATAAAATTAATGAAAACTAGAAAGTTATATAAAAAATTGCCCGAGTTTAATTGCAATTGATTTATTTAAATGAAAATTATTTTTTCTCGAATTGCTAAGTTTGACTTTCAAAACCTTTTTGAAATTTCTTCATGTATAGGAATATGCTGTAGCTTTTTTTAACTGTTAAGAAGGCATGGCATTTAGAAGCAAATAATTTTTGACATATTGAATAGTAAAATTTAAATTCTTTTGAAAAAACAATGCAAATGTACAACGCTTAGTTCAAAAAATTCGATTGCATTTTTCTTCCTAGTATTTAAGACATTAGTTTCATTTAGCCTAGTTATAAAAAGTAACAAATTATGTCCAATACATCAGTATCTAATGGGTAAAACTCAGTACGAAGAGTTGCTTATAAAAAACCATAAAAATGTAACGGAATATATGAGACAAAATTCCCCCAGTTTTATTTTTAAAAAAAACATTTCAGAACAGTTCAGAGGTTTCAGAACATTTAGATTTATAATTTAGGTTTGAAAATCTGGCAATTATAGGGTGATTGTAAAATAACTTTGCAATAAAAATTCGAAAGAAAAGAAATATTCCAAGAAAAGCACTCAAGATTTGAAAGAGATTATCGGGCTCTTATGGTTATGTTTAGAGCAACAAAATTCTGACATTTTTAAATAGAAACATGTTTCTCTGATCCAATAGTGATTCTCGTAGTATAAACTTATAATGTAGTTAAAACAGTATTTTTAGCTGGATAATGACGTCGCTAGACATTAACGAAAATTGCAACAGACAAATCACCATGCAAGCTTTGTTTCGTTGTTGTTATCGAATCACTCACATTTTTGATCATTTATAAAATAATCATTTCCTTATTTCAGTTTTTCCTGCTAAAACTATCGTCCGGACTCGATTTTATTTTACAGTAAAGTCAGGAACTCCCCTTCTAAGATGACTTAGAATTGATTTAAAAAAATTATGTTTTTACTCAAATATACAAAAAAAGAAACGAACCTACTCAAACGGGCCACCGTGAATAACTTTTAATCTTCAGGTTCTAAAACACAAACTTAATGGTTCGACAGTGTGACCTCAAATATGCAGACGATATTTTAAGCTACGAAATCAGACAGAAAAACTTTCTTTCTCTGAATAAATATACCTTATTTTCGACGGTGTCGAATTTCTGACCCCCAAAATATAGGGGCAAGAACAATCTAGGAAATATGGTCTCCATAGTTTGGCTGGGAGAGCGATTCAAAGTTTGGACCCTATAATGTAAATTGTAGTTTTTACGTATTTCAAAATATTTTGAGAACTTTTTAAGCTAATTGAAAATTTTATGTATACAATTATAATTTTTTTTAATCCAGAGATAATTCCATTCAAAAAGAAACTTTTGGCAAAGAATTATTATTCCTCTATTATTTTATTTAATAACAGTCGAAAGCATTTTAAATTATAAGGTATACAATTTCTTACGTAGTTTTAAATCATATAATTTTACATGGTAAAATGCGAAATTTGAGTGAAATCAGTCAAATAGTTCCTATGAAATCAAGTTTTAAATTTACGACTTCTTCAAAATTTGATTTCTCAGGAACTATTCGACCAATTTCACTCAAATTTTGCATTTTGTCATGCAAAATCTAAAAATCCAAATTTACTTTAAAATGGTTTTAAAAAATTTTTACCTTACGATTCAAATACTTTCGGCTATTATTAAATAAAATAATAAAAAAATAATAAATATATGATAAAGTTTATTTTCTGACGCCCGGTGGCTGAGTGGTAGAGCTTCGCGCTCCCGCGCCACAGGTCCTGGGTTTCATCCTCGGGTCGGGCAAGGTTGACTCAGCCTTTCATCCCTTCAGCGGGTCGATAAATGAGTACCAAACATGCTTGGGAACTAAATACTGGGGGGTTCCGCGTTTGGCTGACCACCGGAACATCTGCACCCCAGAGCTCAAGGTCAAGAAAACTGAGATGGGCACAGTAGACCTTGGCCCTCTATGGGCTGTCGTGCCTCTGAGTAGAGTAGTAGTAAAGTTTATTTTCTGGATGAAATTATCTTTGAAAGAACAAATAAACGAATTTATAATATATTTGGATAAACGATTTTTATAATTCTGCGCAAAACATTTTCAATTCACTTGTAAAGTTTTCAAGATATGGCGAAATATGTAAAAAGTAAAATTATTATTATGGGTTCCCACTTTGGATCGCTCCCCTAACCAAACTATGGGGACCATATTTCCCAGATTGTAGCTACCCCCTTCATTTTGGGTGTCAGAAATTCGAATCCGTTGGAAAAAAAGGCATGCTTATTCAGAGAAAGTGACGCCCGGTGGCTGAGTGGTAGAGCTTTGCGCTCCCGTGCCACAGGTCCTGAGTTCGATCCTCGGGCCGGCCAAGGTTGACTCAGCCTTTCATCCCTTCAGTGGGTCGATAAATGAGTACCAAGCATGCTTGGGAACTAAACACTGTGGGTTCCGTTTTCGGCTGGCCATCTAAACCGGAACATCTGCTCCTGCATCCCAGAGCACTAGGTCAAGAAAACTGAGATGGGCACAGTAGGCCATGGCCCTCTATGGGCTGTCGTGCCACTGAGTTTAGTTTAGTATTCAGAGAAAGTACGCTTTTGTGTCCAATTTCGTTACTAAAAATATCGTCTGCACTAATTAATTAGCATATTTGTGGTCACCCCCTCGGACCATTAAGTTTAAGTCTTAGATCCTGAAGATCCAATTATTAGGTTAAAAGTTATCCAGGGTGGATCGTTTTTCATTTTGCTCACTGTACAGTACAAAGAAATGATAAAATTAACAATAACATACAATCCTGTCTTGAACAAAATTAAATAAAAATATGATAGAGACGCTAAATCATAAGCCTTAGAGTGTCAACTACTAAAATCTACAATATCAACTAAATGTTTACTTTTAATCTTGCAAAAGTTCATAGGGATTTGTTTGGAGAAAAGAAACTTTATAAAAGCATTTTAATGACGTCAGAGTGAATAGTACTTAAATATTATTGTTCATAATATCAGAGAGATTTTGTATAACATTACAGTTTCACCTATCTCTAACAACTCATGCTCGAATATTTCCGAGCAAATCGTACCGTCACCAAGGGATAGAAAATAAGGTTAGTGTTATAGCTAACGTAAGACAAACGTTATACAAAATTTCTCTTTTATATTAATTTTGTGGAAGACTCTTTCTTAGGAGTTGAGGAAAAGTTGTCGAAGAGAAATTTAAAGAATGCACTGATGGCCAATGGACTTCCAAATTTATGTGGGTCAGTTTCAAAATGGAGAGACATTTAGAAAACTTTTAATCAAAACTTAATATTCAAATTACTACCTGTAAAATGTTTGCTATAATTGGATTGATTTAGAGCTGGTACGGTTAAGAAACCGTGAACATAAAATTATACGGTTTTGTAGCCATTTAAAATTTGCATAGTTTCTAAACCATAAAAATAAAACTTAAATGGACTTTTGAGCTCTATGGATGTTACACCATTTTTGCGTGAATGATAGTTTTGCATCGCAATAATCGAGGGTCACTAAAAGAGTTCAGGGCACTGGAAACTCTACATGTATTGAAGGAATGGAAGAAATTGTGTGGCGTCAAATCTGGAATTCGAACCCCGGTTCACCGGTTATGAGACTGACCAATTAGACCCCGCAGCTATAGTGTGTACCCAGATGCACGGAACTAAATTAGCTTCATAAGGTGAGCCTAGTTGGCGCGGATGGAATTCTGTTTGCTAATCCTTATTAGGTAAAAAGAACCAACGGTTTTTCTCACACTAACAGTTTGAAAATCCTTTTATGGTTACTTGACAGCTTTGGTGGAAAATAGTAAAATAACAATGACATAAATCACTATTTAACCGTTTTTATCGAAACATTTCTGACAGTGTCCAAGTCAATTTAATGTTTGTTTACAATTCTTAACGTTTGTTTACAAAACTGAAAAGCATGATTTAATTTTGCAATTGAAAATCAACTCAACATTAAAATAATAAATTTAAGACGATTAGGCTAATAGTATAGGGGAAAATAAATAAATATCTATACTTTTATTTTCTCAATTTCAAGATAGCTTATTTATATAGAAATAAAATAAAATTTATTAAAACTTACTCAATTCCCATAAATACTTTCCCAACAACATCCCACTAAGCCGCTATGTTATATGTTTTCAAACAAAGCAAGGCTTGACATGAAAACTTTGAGTTTCCTTGTTTGGTAAGAGGTGCATAAATTAGCACACCTGTCTGTGTCTTCTTTTTTTTCTAATTTATATCTTTAGATTTCTGATCTTTCTCAGCTTTAATTTCCAGTGGTTTTTTAAAATCTTTTTCACCTGTGCTTACTTATAAATGAAATCAATTCTGTTTCATTTTTAACTAAACGTTTCGCAATTTTATAATTTTATACCAGTAAGAATGTATCTTATCTTTATTATGTGAATGATATGCATGTGTTGGATTTATTTATCTTCAATGAGATAAAGTGGATAAATTGGAGAATAAACCAGATATAGATATTTAAATAGCAAACCAAAACATCTCTAATCAAATGAAAAGACTTATCATTAAATATTTTTTTAGATAAGAATTTAAATGAGACGAAATATCAAAGCGAATACCACTTTTATTTCATTACAGATTGTGTAGCCATGTTGACAACATTTATTACTTGAATATGGTATGTATTCCTACAACGCATTTTACACTCATAAAGATAAGAAGAAGTTACATATGGAAGATTAAACATTCTTATCATTTCAGGTAAAATACCTTACAGGGAAGGTGTTAGAAATGTTCTTTTTTACTTTTGATAAGTAAAGTTTATAACAATGTTTCAAAATAAGTTTGCGTTAATTATATGCGCTTTTACGGGTAAGTTTTATTTTTACTATCTATTTTATTTATATACTTTTTATATTATTTGAATAATTTGCACATTTTGCAAAAAGAGTAAACTAATTCCAATCACATTTTTTTTAATTTTAAAAATTATAAGCATTTATTAACAAATTTATATTCCGATAAAAGTTTAATATTAAGCAAGCATAAATTTTCATCTAGTCTGGAATTCGTTATCAGGATTTTCAGCGATATAACAGATATCATAAGCATTTGTATCAAAATACGTTTTTAATTTTAACTTATGGTAGTCAAATTTTAAAACAAGTGCTGTGCAGGAGATGCATCATTAGTTATTTAAGAGAATTAGATTTTAATTATAATTTTCCGATTAAAAAAGGATTTAAATTGCTTTTTTAATTAGTACTAAATTATTAATATCATGATCAACTATTGTTAATTAAATGCTCGTCCTCAATTGTTTAATTTAATGTTTAACCAGGTAGTTGCTTTTGTAATTTATGAAAATGTGACAGAGAAGGTTACTGCCAAGCACGACTACATAATGAATGTACTGTTTTCCAGGCTGAACTTTTGTGTATAAACCTGGTTGTTAACTGGATACAAAATTCTTCTAGTGAAAACCAAATTTTTAAATATCTCATTTGTAAAGATTCTCTTTCTTCACTTTTTCTTTTGCGTGACACGACTTCTACCGAGAAGCTTGTGGTGGAAATTCACTCGATTTTGAACACTCTTGAAAACGTAACTATTCATTTTTCTTACGTTCGTGGTCATAGCGGCATTTTGGGCAATGAAAGAGCAGACCAATTGGCTAGGGAAGCTACGTGTGGTGAAATAGACTTAAGGGTGTCTGTTCCAGCTTCTCACTGGAAGGGCATCGCTAGAGATAAAATCATTGCGGACTGGAATGCTGAATTTCTTGCTTCGCCTCGGTCGCTTTGGACGAAAAGGTTCTTTCCATCCATTTTTCCCCATTTGCAATGTAAATTCTTTGCAACTGATTTTAAATTGACCCAAATTTTAACAAACCATGGAAATTTTAAGAGATATTTATTTCGTTTCCATCTGCAGACCAGTGGAATTTGTGCTTGCGGTGATGCTGATGAAGATGCTGAACATATTCTTCTTCATTGTAGTCTGTATGCGAGTGCCCGAATGAATTTGAAGACTGATTTGAGACGTCTTTCTATTTGTTAGCTACCTGTCTTATCAGAACTGGTCAAAAGTATTGAAAGTCTTGCGGCCTTGTGGAATTTTGTTTTTGATGTAAATTTGTAAATTTTTCTTCTTTTTGTTTTCTACTTATAATTGTAAGCCTCATGCTATACTTTGTGGTGCATGAGGAGTTTTAAGTCATTTAAATAAAATAGAAAAAAAGAAAAAAAACCAGGTAGTTGATGATGTGATTAGAGCGAAAGGTGCATACACTACAGTGGGAAGCACTCAAGCACCAAACTCACAGTTATGATATCTCCTCATCTGATTTTTACTTTTAAAAATGTTCTGAAAATGCCAAAAATTCCGGACAGAATTTCTTCAATCAGTTTCGCATTTGTTCAATATGCAGAAGTGAACATACCAAATGAGTATGTTCAAGCTAGTGAAGAAGTGAGGCCCTTACTTGAATGCTTATGTCCAGATGTAAGGTTGATTTTAATTTCAGCAACAACCATGATCAATAAGCTCAACAAGGCAAATAAACCATGCAAGCTTGAAACAATGTTAAATGTAACTATGCTAGTTTATGCGCTATGAGGTTTGTATTAAGCTTGCAAAAACAGCCCATTTATATCGAGATTCAATCTACTTAAAAAGAGACTAGAAAAACCTTTTGAAATCGAGGATGAATCATCATTCGCAAAACAAGCGTTCTCAAACCCAGAATGAATTCCCCTTCTCAAGGTTTATTTTAGATTTTATGAGCATTACTAAAGCAAGGTTCATTTGCGTAGGATTTTACATACTTTCTTTAACACTTTTAAAGTGAAGGTGGGTCTGAACATTAAGTTTTAAACTGAAACAAAATGTTGCATTTGAGATCTTGGACACAGCTGTAATGAAGAAAAGTCTAAAATAAGGTTTATAATACCTGGAAATAAAAGCTAAAAAATGAGATTTTTTTGTAAAGGTTTTAGTATGTCCGTTTTTTTAATTTTTAATGGAAAAAGCTTTGCATGCTAATATTTCTACTAAGTTAAAAAAAGGATTAATCAGTCAATGTTTCTATGCCTAACAAATAAAAAGGAAATTAAAACGTTGATTTTAAAGTTGCCTGCTATCAGGGTGGGAATTTTGCATGACTGGTATACCATGGCTAAACTGTTTCAAATGTAAGCCTTTTTAATCGCTTAGTATCTAAAACTGTAACCTTATATTACATTAGGGAAGGAAATATTATTTTTATTGGATATAATCCGGTTGTTTTAATTTGAACCATGTTTTCATTGATATTTATCCACATAGTAATGTGTATTCGAGCTGAAGAAATCAGTAATTGTTGAAATTTGCTCCAAAATGAGGTTACAGTAAATTTAAACGATATTAAGGTTCTATATACTTTAAAAAAATTTCGTGTATTCGAGCACCAGAAATGGTGGCAACTAATTTACACCAAAGTGTGTTCCACTAAGTGTTCCATCACACCAAAAACCTAAGGTTAGTTCTTGGTGTCGTGAAACACCCAGGTGTTCTTCTACACTATTCGATGCAAAGCCACGAAGCTTGTGTATCACTAAAATTTATATTGTCAGTACCATATGAAACACATAAGAACCAGTAAAGTTATTTTTACGAAACAATATAACATAAGAATGAGTAATTTAGGTTGCATCCGCACTCCAAATCATAAAATAAAATAAGTTTGCAAATTAAACAAATGCAGCAGAGAATGTTAAGAAAAATTTGAACTAGGCTTAGCAGTGGAGTAATTTATGCAAATTATGCATTATAAAATTATTTATAGTTTACAGAGGCTTGAAAATTTAAATATAAATATCCTTATTACACAACAAGAAACATACATACATATTTTTAACTGTGAACCTTAGTTTCTGCAGATCAAATGGAATATCCAAAATAACAGAAAGCATTCGCTAAGTCATTATCAATTGTAAACAATTACAGACGAAATCAAAATGCAGCCAACATTGGAGTTTTTGGAGTATATTTAACGTATGGTGTAAAAGCGAGTTTTTGAAATTTCGGTGCTTAAAACTTTCAAACATTCTCAAAATTGTTTTAGCTCGATTTCGTGTTAACTTGAAAAAGAGTGTTTGTTCACGCATTTTTAAGGGATGTTCAACATCAATATACATTATAGTTTTCACAGTCTGCTTTCAAAAATTTATACCAGTGCATATACTTAGTTTATTATAATTCAGATTCTGACAACAGATTTACTTGCGTACTTATTACTATTATTATTTCAGCTGTTTTTACAGGAACAATAGCAGCAAAAGATTATCGAAACAAAACAATAGATTGCGTTTTTAAGCAATATAATGAATGCTATAAAACAATTGGAAGTTTAGGAGCAAATTTTTCAGCTAGATATGACGAAACAACCGCTGAAATAAATGCTACCTGCAAGTAAGTTTACAGATTTTGTGTCCTGTAAATTTTAATTATTAACTTCAATAATTCACTTTATTACACATTTGCGATATTATGTATTGTGCTAAGTCCCAACTCATTGTACTAAGAAAAAAAGTATGGTCAAAATTACTAGAATATGGTAAAATTTACCGCGTTTCTGGCTCTTAGCACTCTGGTAATGTTTTCGGTAAAATTAAAAGTGAAATATTGCTTTATGATATGAGTTAGAATTTGGTTTATGTAGTAAAATTCAGTAATTTCTTCATGATACCTTAGTGCATGATATAAAAACGATTTTTTTCAGTTAAATTTTCTTTTTAGTTTTGTATTTCTTACTAAATGTGTTGTAATAGGAACTGTAATTTTGAAAAAAAGAATTTCTGGTAAACCATTACCAAATGAACTGAAAAATTACCAAAATTATGGTTCAAATACCATATATTTTTTATTATCTGAACTATGGTTATGTTTTTACCAGGAACGTTTTTACCATATAATACTGTAATTTTACCAGAATTTTTTTCTCCATGTGCAGCATCTCATTCTAATGCATTTTTAATTTTTATCGCTTTCCAAGAACATGAATTGCTTCTGCGAATTTATTAATGAATAAGATTGCTAGTTATTCTCATATAACGCAACTTCACGGTAGCTTATACTGTAAAAAATTCAGCATAAAATTACGGTATAAAGTACCGGCACTTAGGGGGCGTGTACTTTTTATCGTACAATTTTACCGTTTAAAAAATCCGATGCATGGTAATATCTGTAATATTTACTGTAAAATCATTGTAATTAAATAGATATTTAGGTAAAAACAACGGTATCCGATTTTACAATAAAAATGGATTTTAGGGTAAAATAAATTGAATTGAGATGTACTTAGGGTGCCAGTACTTTTTACCATAATTTCATCTGGATTATTTGCACTGTACTCCAAAACTTGATTGTTTGATGTTTGTTTGCAATTAATATTTCGTTCAGTCTCCCATTTTAAGTTTCCATTGAAAACTTCGTTGGAAAGGCATCGAAAAGCTATAACAATTCTAAAATATAATCAATTTATATCTTTATTAAGATAAAATCAACAAATAAATTTAATCACTCAAAGTGATTCCCTGCAAACATTATATTTATATTTTCGCTTTTTCCATTTTTATTTAAAATTATTAATATAAATTTAATTCAAATCCATTTAGTTTACTTAATATAAATTTATGTAATTAATCACGAGTGAATTTCTAATACCTTTCTGTAATACAATTTTAAATCATTTAACCAAAGGCATAAGCTTATTCCAAAGCAAAAATATAGATAAAATTTAAACATGAATTTTATTTATATATAATATATATAACAGTAAATTTTCGAAATTCTTTAATGATAAAATGTTAGAATTTTTCTTAAATAATGTGTAGATAATTATGTTCGAGCAATTTGCTATTTCCCTAATATTCTAATTCTAGATAAGAAAAAAAGACAAGTTTAGTTTTTTAATACATTAACGCTTTTTTATTCGATATGTTAGTAAGAAAAAGCAAAATTCGGCCACAAAAAATTGCATTTCATAAATATATTTTGCCCCTCTAAAGAAAACCAGCATTTTGGAACAAACAGATAAGAATGATGTATTATCAACAAACAAATTAGGTTTATATTTTAAATAAAAAATAGCAATGGATTCTATAAATACAAAAGTTCTTTGTCCTATAGAACTCATCTGTTTGAGTTCATTGCCAGGTTCAAATGCCGATTAATTAAAAACATTTATCACGACTTGAAAGAATTATTCTTTGCATCACATGATTCTATTCATTGCTTTTGTTTCGTATCTGAATACGTTTGTCTTTCAAATTGATGGTCCAGCACACATATGGGACGGGGTTTTCATTGCTGATAAATAAACGTGAAATTATTACTTGATATCTTCTAGCTAAAATATTTATTTTAGGGAAATATTATCTGGAGTATCACTGCAATATAGTTTTTATATTTAACTAACCGTTAATGTGGTTCTCATTTTAATTCATGCGTTCATTTTGCTTTTATGTTTTTCGATTTTTTTTTATTGACGAAAAAAAAATTAACTCAGTGCTGTCTACTGGAGGTTTAGCTGATATATTAATGGATTTAAGTAAAAAATCTTTGAAGTCTATAATAAAAAATAAAAAAATAAATTCCATTAATTCTTATGCGTAAGCTTTGAATTGATAATTGCAAACAATACCTGATACTTATTTGACCTGCTTGCTTCATAGCCTTTGCACTCTTAGCTTTTTTAAATTTTCTGACAAAAGGCAATGTACTTGTCGATTGTTTGTTTGCTATCAATTGCACTTGGAGCCTTGCTCTACTTCGAAAATACTAATCGTTACTTCGTCCCTCAAAATTTGCATAATTTAATAACTTGGTAAAACAATTTTTGTTATTCATTAAAACAAGACAAACATAAGGTATTTATGGAGAAATTTTAATAATTTTTTCGAAAATCTCACTGAAACCTTTTTTTTATCAAGCTCTTCTAATAAATATTGGAAAAAATATTTATATTTCCTTATATTTAATAAAAATATTAAAACTCATCCCGTTGAAATAAAACTCAACGTTGATTTTTTTAAATATATATATGTTTAAATTGTTTAAAAATATTTTATGAATGAATTATCGAACTCTAAATTGGAAAAGTACTCTGAAAAAAAAGTATCTTCAAAACTACCAGGAAATGGTAAAACTTGCCGTGTTTCTGGTTCTATGAGAACACCAGAAAGTTCGGTAATTTTTTGACCGAAACGCTTTGGTAATAGCACTTATAAAATTTGGTAAATGCGGTAATTTTATCATGATACCTTAAAGCCTGGCATGCAAACCATTTTTTGAATAGATTTCCTTTTCAATTTTTTTTTCTTACTAAATAAGAAATTTAACTTTGAAAGCCCCAATTTTCAGTAAACGGCTACCATATGAAAAGAAAAATTATTAAATGAATGATTTAAATACCGTATACCGTAATTTAAGTACCGTATTTTTTGGTTTTAGTACCCAGAATTATGTTTTTTTTTAACCAAAGATTTCAGTACAGTAGGGTAATTTTACCAGCATATTTTGTTTATCTGCTTATTATGTTTCGATCTCTACTGTTGGTAACATAAACCAACTTTCATTGAAAATCTACAAATTACGATCGTAAAGGGGTAGTATTATAATTAATTTAAAATATAGATCTTTTATTTATTGCATAAAAACTAAATTCGGATTCTATTTTATCTGCTTGTCTTTCTAACAGTTTGTTAGACGATATATTTTGATTGTGCAGCGCTACATTATATTCAGCGCTACTTTATATGAAAATTAACGCTTCAGTAATCATTGATGAAGGTGTTGTGTCGAAATATGAACAGGTTTTAACACGTCTGTTGCTGTTAGTCGTTGTTTTCTAATAAAATTTATAATCACACAGAATTATTCTCGTAATTGTGCGACTTCAATAGTTTGTGTAGATATTTCTCTTGCCAAAGCACATATCTTATCACAATAATGCTTATTTTACGGGAATTTTTTTTTCTTTACATAACTTTGTAGTCTAACATTTTATATCTGCTTATAGCTCATCAAGGACAGTGACAGAACGATGTCTTTCAGACATAACGACTAGCTGCAATACAAGATTAGATAGCAGCATTGGTCTCTCCGTTAATTCTTTAATTGGATCACTTTGCAATAATAAGTCAAAAGAACAAGCAAGTAAGCTCAAATTAAAGTTAATCTTAGAAATGCTTCACTTACGAATAGTAATTTTAATACTAAAATAATTTTTTTCTAGTCATAATAAAGTGGCTATATTGTAAAAAAAAAATCGGTGAAATTATGGTTAAAAGTGCTGGCACCGCTCTGTTAGAATGCTCATTCTAAAACGACGGTACAATAGCCGACAGCAGTCTGTTCATCCAAATAACCGTACAGTTTACGGTAAAGGACACTTTTTTATCCTTATGGTCTTGAAGCTGCTTACAACTAGTATGGTTAAAAAACAACGAATACAAAATTATACTGTTTTTTAATCACTTAAAACATGCATGGTTTCTAAACCAGAAAAATTAAATTTAATTGGACATTGGAGCTAAGTTATGTTAGGCAATTAACAATGGTTTTAGGTTGTGGATGAGTTGTGTTTTGTCAAATGATCCATGGATTGTGGCCTACTTGCTTACCTGATGATTCCATCTATCGTGAGCAACTGGAAATACAAGAATTTTTTTGTGTGGAGAATCTTTATGGTGATTCCATCTATGCGTGAATGAGAGTATCCAATTCTAATAGTCCAGGACCACAAATTAGAGTGTGCAGAACACTGGAAGCTCTTCATGCGTCAAAGGGAATGAAAAAATATAGTAGTGCAGACTCTGGGAATCGAATCCTCGTTCTATTGCCCATGAGATTGACAGATTATTTATGACTCTGCTTTAATATTTACGCAGTTGCAGGGCTTCATAAATAGTATATTTAATGAAGCCCTGTGACTTCATTAAATATTCACTAAGTGGCTTCGTTAGGCGGACCTAGTTGGTGCGATAAAACTCTGGTTATTTAACCGTATTAGGTGAAAGGAGTTATTAAACGGTTTTTCTCACAGTTAATAGTTTGAATACCATTTATTGATGATTATATAACAATTTTGTTTGAATATAGTTAAATAAGAATTAAATAAACAATTTAACAACTTTTCCCGAGAAATTTTTAGCAGTACATGAATTTATCATCCGTAAAATTCTTTTTTACCGTAAACTTTTATACCGCAATTTTTACAGTAATATTTATTTCAGTATACTGATTCGGTAAATATTGCTATAAAAATTACGGATTGCGAGATTTTTTGTTCTGTAAAGTCTTGCGGTAAAAAGTAAGTAGTACCCTGAGTGATGGCACTATTTGCCGGAATTTTTTACAGTGCACAAACAAGTCAATGCTATTCATTATTTATTAAATGACTCACGGTGACTAAAAATGCTGCTCAAAGAATAAATTAATTAGAAATTCCCTTTTTTATTATCGATCTAACTAGATGAAGAAAATATAGAGCTGTTTACAGCTTTGTATCGCTGTAGTCATTTCATTATGTGTCTTTGTTAGTTGTTTGTAGCTTTGATATCCGATTTCGCACAAAAACACTCTGTTCGCATTTATGCTGTAAAAACGGGGATGTCACGCATCGTTTTGTGCATTATTAGCAAAACTGAAAAAAACACAAACGCTATAAAAAATTAGTTTACGTGTTCATATCCTCACTAAGTAGTATTTATCCCAATCATAAATTTATTATTTATTTATACTATTACATGTTTTCATCCAGATCGCGATTTTTATTTTATGGTAATTAGCCGTAAGATGTTTCATGTTCTGGGATGAATTTATGATATAGGATAAAAATATGTTTCTGATAAACTTATTTGAAAACTTATATTCAAAACTTTATTTTGATAACTAAGCTATATATCAGCATCAACTCTCGTATTATTATTCATATTTATTTAAAAATGTATGCCTCTATATGTCAGATTTCGGATACAATTTAAAGTAAATTAGTGAATTCTTTTTTCTCGCTATGAAATTTATCTTTTATCTCGCTATATTTGCTTTTATGTATGTTGCCGTCAATTTATTAAATACCAGCATTCTATAAAAGAACAACTACTAAATGTTTAGAATGCTTGGTGGTTTCAGCAAAGTATATGAAAAATGTGATGTATTTTGCCTGACGTATATATTGCCAATATGTTTTTCTTTTGTCATTCCAATAAATACCCAAGCGCGAATGAAATAATAATCGTTTCATACTTTGCCGGTTTGTGATTCTTCATTCTATAGAATACATTGGTAAAGTCTGAAGTATTTATCATTTCATTTTTATCGTTCATACTTAATAATTGATGAAAATAGCTATGGTTTGAAAATTATCATAATTTATTATGTAATTAGTGATATTTTCCATTTAAAAAAATACACTAGATTTTACAAAATTCTTCCATTTTTTTCAGGGTTTCTTAATTCAAGTGCGTGTTATAACAAAAACCAGAAAAGAAGAATAGACTGCGTGACTTCTTATAGCCCCGGCTCTAATACTGATGCACGATCATTATGTTGGTAGGTAATTCACACAATGTAAGGAATACTTCGTTCGGCACTAAATATATTTTCCAAGAATCATGTTGTAAAATGAATTTATAAAAGTAGCCCCTTTAGGGTTAGTAAATTATTTTTTTTTTAAAAAAAGAAAGAAAAGCAACATCTAAATAATGCTTCACTTGTAAAGAAGACGGAACCAAAAAAGCGTCAAAACTGGTTTGATTACCTGAGAGGTTCTGAGGACTGGTTTCATAATGAAAATACGGCAAAACCGCAAAATCCTCTTCTCGGTCGTTTTTTTAAATTTAATTTATTAAACCACTAATCATTTTTGGGACACTCATTAGCAATTTTATGAGCATTCCATTCTGTTAACTATTTTTTTGAAAAAATTTATTCGTATTTTTACTTCTGGCTTGATGTGATGTACAAAAAGCTCATTATGCCCATTTATTCAGATATAAATAAATCATACTTATTTTACTTTTGAAGAGAGTGAACTACTCAATTTTTATAAAAATATAAATTATATAATAGAAAATATACTTTTTATTTAACTTACTTAAAAGTTAAAGGTTTTACAATTGTGCTTTTTATGATATGAAGTAGTTAATGAAATAATATATAAAAGTATTAAATGAGTTTAAGAAAACTGGTTAAAATACGAAAGCGATATGAAAAATTAACTTTAAGAGTTTTCAGACCCTGCAAAAAATTTTGTAGTATAGTTGACACCAATTTTGTTAGCTAACATTTTTAACAGTAAACTAGCATTTTTTGCAGTGCATGAAGCTACATTTTTATTTCGTTTTTCACCGTTATAGTTTTATTAATTAATTTATTTTTTGTTTGGCTGTTTACGGATAACACATATTTTCATCTGCATTAGAATCAATTTAATAGCTTAATTTCAGAAATATCTAATATATATAATTCTCTTACGTGACTCCCAAATGTTGGCTGTATTTCCTTTCCGCCGGTGGCAACGTTTGCTTTGTTTTGTTTACGTTGCCATTTCTCTTACACGGCGAATCGACCAATGATTGCCGCTAAAAATGTCACATGCCAAATCTAGCTGAGATGGATCAACATATAGCGCTTTTAAGAACGGAAACTGAAATAACCAGCTGCGGCAATCTCATACTATTAAGCTAGGCAGAAGTCAGTAGTCTTTGTCGATAGATCTCTATTTTAGTATTTTGTCGAAAGCGCTTTTTTTCACGAATTTATATATTACGAATTTATTTGACGAATTTTGATGTATATTACGAATTATACTATAGCACATTTCCAATAGGTTTAGCGAATTACATGTCATTTATTTGAATTCAAATTTATTTTAATGACTTAGTATTTACTAAAAAAATGTAATTTTTTTTTAAAAAATAAGTTTTTATATGGATTTGAATGATTGTTTTGAATTCTCAGAATTTTGTGCATTTGCAATGTACCTAAGTTAGTAGCGAGCGATATAAGATTGCGTAGCAATTTTCGGGGGTTGGCGAGCGTTAGCGAGCCGGGGGCGCAGCCCACTAGTTTAATTTAAAAAACAAGCACATTTTTTGTAATATATTCACCCGAATTCTTTAAACCAATCTTTCTATCAATTTTATTTGCACGATAATTACTTTTCTGCACTTAAAAATGTATTTAGTTTATCTCATCACCAAAAATAGTGTTACTGTAATGTAAAAAATTCAGGATCAAATTATGATATAAGTACCAGCACTTTGGGTGCAGTTCACGTAAAATCCATTTAATCGTAAAATTATTTTTGTAAAATATTATATCATAATTTTTACTGTAATTATTAAATTAGAGTGATACAGTGATTTTACAGTAATTATTACAGTAAAAATTTCTCTATATCAGATTTTTTTTCCATAACGTGTTCCAGTAAAAATGGATTTTAAGGTAAAAAGTATCGGCCCCCTGAGTGCCGATATTTTTTACCCTACTTTGATCCTGAATTTCTTATAATCTATACACCAGATGTTTTACAGATCGGAACTGAAATAATTCTTAAAAAAATAGTCAACACCAGCAAAATTATTATTTTTAAGTTTTATCCTAATAAAATCGGAAACCATATCTATGTTTATCCAATAAAAAAAATTGAGATCCTTAATTCGAATAATTATTATTTTTTTTAATTTGATTAGTTTGATCTTTTATTTAAATTTATTTTGATGTCGCAATTTGGTTGCACTCCTGAAAAAATTTTTTTAGGAATCGATAGGGATAATTTGTTGAACGAAACAAGTTGCGGAGCTCTCTAATATTTTATCAAATTTTAAAACTTTTAAATTTCCATAAGAAATTAATTTTTACAATCAAGAAATGTTTTCTTTAAATCGAGAGTCTTATTTTATCTGCTTAAAATACTAACTTATTTAAGCGCTATTAGTTGTATGCAATGATTTTATTATGCGAAAGTTATTTTCAAACTAAAAATTAGTCAATAGCATTGATGTCTGGGAGATTACAATTAGTTAATATTTTTAGCAATAGTAGAAATAATCCATTTGGTTTAGTAAAACAAATCACGTTTTCGTCACATTTCGTTGGTTTCTCTCATATACATTTAATGTGGCGCAGACATTTAATTAACATCACATCTGCTCGCGTTATAAAATATCTGCAGGAAATGAGTTGTTCAAAGGTCCGTTGTGATTTCATAATTCAATTAAGCTTTTCAACTGAATAATTCATATATGAAAACAAGATAAGCTATTTACATGTTTTCTTACTCTCTCTAAACGACATTTCAAAACTATCAGTACTATAAGTACACTGCAAAATTTTTTGGTCAAACTATGTTAAAAACTATGGGCACTCAGGGCACCGGTACTTTTAGTAATTACGCCGTCAATAATTCTCAAAGTAATAATTAAATTTTAACTTTTCCCTCCACCTTAATTCATGTACACTTTTCGATACACCTTAGTAATTCCAAAATTTTTTTTCGTCTTATATTCTCTTTGCACCAGCAAAAAAAAATTAAAAAAAAATTAAGTTGAACCCCCAAAACAGTGGCATTTTTATATGGAGAGGAATAAAATTATTTTTCTTAGTCCTTGATTAAAATTATAATAATATAATTTAATAATTACTTAATAATTACGCAGCCAATAATTCTGGAAGTAATAATTAAATTTAAACTTTTCCATCTTAATTCCTGTATACTTTTCTTAACACCTTAGTAATTTTAAATTTTTTGTCCTATATTCTCTTTGCATCAAAAAATACTAATGATAAATTGAAAAATTAAGTAGAACACCCAAAACATTTTAATATTTTAATATAGAAATAAATAAAATTATTTTCCTTTGTCCTCGATTAAAATTATAATGTAATAATTACTTTATAATTACACAGCCAATAATTTCTAGAAGTAATAATTGAATTTGAACTCTTCCATCTTAATTCCTGTATACATTTCTTAGCACCTCAATAATTTCAAATTTTTCGTCTCTTTGCACCAAAAAATAATAATAATAAATTGAAAAATTAAATTGAACACTCAAAACAGCGGCATTTCAATATATAGAGAGAAATAATAATGTTTTCCTTATTTCCGATTAGAATTAATTTTACAAAAAAAAAATAGAAGTATTTTCCTTAATTCTTGATTATGTTTAAGTTTGTGAAGAAAATAGAAATATTTTTCCTAGTCTTCAACTAGATTCTCACCTCAGATTCTTGGAGCCTTATCCCCCACGGCCCTCGCTGCACACCATTGATACTTAGTCTCGATGGCATTGGGGGCATTCGAAAGTTCTTTTGATATTTTATTTAATGTTTTTCTGCGATGTTTTCTTTGATACTATGACACTAATCCTCTTTTAATGAAGCGTATTTGAAAATAAAAAATTCAAGCAGTAAGCTTATTTTTTTTCTTCGAAATACAAAGGCACTTAATTTGCTTAAAACAGATCTTTCATAGATTTAATGGTCTTTTGTTAAAGTTTATTATTAAATTTAGATTTTAAATTATTTTTATCTCTGCAAAGTACATTTTTCAATGTTTTTACATTAAATAAAAAAAATTTTGAAAGTTATCCTCCATATCTAAAGAAACAAAAACTATCTCCGTATCCCCCATTTTAATACAGATTTTTATATATTGTTTAAGACAAAATTTCCGTAATGAAAATTTATGTGCTATTTTGGAAAATTATTTGCTAATTTGACAATGCAAATTTTTTGCTAGATAAATAAAGCCAATTTTGTTGTTTTATTCTTAGCTTATATCTGAAATCCTAATAATAACAAACTAGTTTCTTCTTATAAGTTTATTTGTTGATTATCTATTTAAAAACATTCTTTATTCTAGAGTAACTTTTGCCAGAATCCAGTTGGAAAAAGTTGAATAACATAAGGCAAAAGTTGCTAAATTATTTCTCCATGCAATTTTTTTAAATGAAATTATATTTAAGTTTAACATTAATGCTCCCAAAATTGCAAAAAAAGGCAGAAAGCTTCCTTATCATCTTGATTAAAAATATATATATCTTAAAAATAATTTAGGACAAATGTTCCATAGGTAAAAAATGCTAGTTCACTCGTAAGCACAATTTTTTCTAATGATAATTAAATTTAAGTTTAACATTTAGCGTGAATCCAGTCAAATGGCAAAATACAAGATCTGTTTCAATAATTTTACTAGAAGCATTTGAGAAAGGTTTTTATATTATAAATCTGGCAAAATAAGGTAATTATAATGTAATAACGTTAAATAAAAACATAATTAAGTTTGTATCATTATAACACTTATGAGGGTGTGAAATCTAAGGAAATCTTTCTTATCTTCTTTCTAAACTGTAAAAAAAAATCTTAAAAAATCACTGTATAAAGTGCCAGAATTGCATTCAGAGAGCTAGTACTTTTGACCGCAATATTTTATACTGTAATTCTTACAGTAATATTTACTGAATTAAAGTGATTTATCAAATGTTAATGAAAAATCTAAGGAAATCTTTTCTTTTCTTCTTTCTAAACTGTAAAAAGAATTCCTATAAAAATTACAGTAAAAAATGCTGGAATTACATTCAGAGTGATTGTACTGTAAAACTTCGTGCTGTAAATTTTACAGTAATATTTACTGAAATAAAGTTACTTATCGAATATTACTGAAAAAAATTACTACGTATCATTTATATATTTGTTTGTTTTGCGATACGATACAAAATTTTACGATGGAAATGAATCTTAAGTTAAAAAGCAATGGCACCTTGAATGCTGGTACTTTTAATCGTAATTGTTCAGAATGTTACAGTGTAGTTCTTAAAACCATGAGTGCATTTCACTGGTCAAGAATAATTCTGGTGTCAACGAACAAATCACAGTCGTTTTTTTCGTTTAGTATATATTATATATTCTGAACGTTGCCATAAAATAAAACAAAGCACTGTAAGAAATGGATGGCCTCGAGGATAAATCACTATCTTCTGATATGAGCAGCACGGTTTCATATCTCGTATATATACTAGTCGAATCTTTATAATTCCGAATAAATATAAATGAAATGGTATTAGATGCATGATACTCTTAATACACATCGGCTAGCACATGATGGGTTTAAGTTTTACTTCAATCAAGCTGACCGCGCGAGGTTTTCCTAATGCTCTTAAGTATCACACTGAGAAGTCGAATTTATTTTGATGCTTAATTTGGAGTGCAGTGTTCAAACTGAAGGTATTTTGAGTGAAAGTTCCTGTTAAATCAGTAAGGTCAGACGTAAGAGCTATAACCCTAAACCATTAGGGTTAGTGATGAAAACCTTTAAACTAAGTCGCACTACTAGATTGATTTACCAACAGGGATAAAATAAAATTAAAGATAATGTATGTGCTTCAAAACCATTGGGTCAAAGATCAAAACCTACAAAACAGAGTTGGTCTACTTAGATTAATCGACCTTGATATAAAATTCCAAACAATGATTTTTTTCATCCACAATTTTGTAAAATAAAATTAGGAATACTAAAAATACACTGAATTAAATATAATTTTACTCCTGACAAATAAAATTGGAGTCCCACAGTCATATTTCCTACTTTAGTTGCCTTCGCAACGCTGTGATCGACATCATCGTCACTCTTTTTTTTCAGACATAAGTTAAGGAGTACCTTCAATTAATTGTAGTTTCTTTTATCATTGTAGTTTGTTCCTTTGCTTTCGTTAGTTGCACATCATTTTGATCTAGGTTGTAAGTTGATCTATTTTTACAAAATAGTACCAAATTGTTTGTACTTTAAGTTCTGCTATTATGAATAGCCCTGATGTCAAGATACAATCAAACATGGTTTTCTACAATGTCTACTGCTTCGTATGTCTACAACTACACCGTGTCCTCTCAACCAAATACCACTTTAATTGAATTAATTTCAACCACAAAGTATCTATGTTAAAATTGTTACAGGCTCTTATTTAACATAATAAAATATGATGTAAGCATATTTCAGTAACATATGAGTATGAGCTTTTCAAACAGTAGCTAGAGCACTTCTTATTGAAACGTATTGGTGTGGGGGAAAAAAGCGAGATTAGCCATGACAAACCATGATAACTGAAAGAGGGGAAAACGTGGAGAGTGGAAAATTTGCATAACCTTGTGATGCTTATTATATTCGCAAAGTTTATAATAATGTTTCATATTTAATAATCTTTAAATGCTAATTAATTTTAAAGTATTTAATATTGTTAAAAAATTTTTCAAAATGGCCACGAAGTACCTTAATTTTGTACTTTAATTATTTTCATTTTTAAATTCTCAAATTTTTTTTGTATATTTCTTAATTTAAAGGTAGAAAACGATTTAAAAGCAGTAAAAAAATTAATTGTACAAAGGAAGTAAATATATTTAAATTGTAATCTTTATATAAATCTAAATATTTAAAAAAAAAGCTAAAACTTAAAATTAAAACATGAAATCCTTTTCTTAAATTTATTGAAATTTAACTTCTGTATTAATGTGTTTCTCTTTTTAGCTCATTGCAAAAGCAACAAGAATGTCTACGGGATAACATGACTCTTGTGTGTACTCATAATGCAACTGACTTTCAAAATCACTTAGTAAATGAATATCGGAAGGTTCATTTTATTTTATGTGGCACATACTTTAAATATTGTAATAGTGCCCCGATACTGGGTGGTTATTTGTTAACAATAATAGTAGTAATAGCAATAACACTTCTGTGATTTTTATGCTTATTATCTGCAGGACGTGTACATAGATGTTGAATAAATTATGTTTTTATTTAGTTTTCACTTCAGGTATTTAAAAACGTGGATAAATGACTTTTTTCCACTTTTATAAAACAAAAATAATGTTTTTGCTTTGTAATATTTATATTGATTAGATTGTTTAACATTTGTTTATTTATCTATACCGTAAACTCCAAATCATTGATTTTAATTTTGTAGACACTGTGACATTTTTTATCTGCATATATCCAACCAGTTCTTCATGAACAAGACAAAGTGTTGAACCTCACTTTGAACATCATCGTTTAGAACGGCATCGCTTAAAATCGGAGTACTGTTTCGCAATCACGAGATGAGCTACTGTCCTCAACCTCACTGAAAGCTCTTTTTCAGATTACTAAACAGTAGGTCAATTTTATGACAGATGGAAGACTAACAGGAACTTTGAAGCGCTGCTGAAAAAAAATATTACTCCCATGGGCATTTCAAAGTCATAGAAAAGAATCGCTGAGCATGAGCAATGTCGTGAACATTATTACGTCACACATCAAATTTTCGCTCTATACGTAGTTTTAGTATGACACCATAGCTCACACGTATAGCGTTAACTTGACCCTATAGAATAAGATAAAGCATGGAACCTCTCTTTTATCCTTGCCGTTCGAGCAGCATTGCTTAAAATCGGAATACTATCATGCCATCACGAGATGAGCTTTCGTCCTTTACTGCTCTGAAAGCTCAACTCGTAATTACCAGTCAGTAGGTCGATTTTATGCCTGATGGAACGCTCAGACACTTCAAACACTGTTGATAATGGCATTTTATGTTTATTTTGTTGAGCATAATGGTACTAAACATAAACTAAACTAAGCTAGCATACTAAGCATAGCTAAACATAGCTAAAATCAGAGGATCATTTTATGTTGATATGGTTAAACAGTGTTACTAAACATAAACTAATCTACGCTAACATAGCTAAACATAGCTAAAACGCAGCTAAACAAGTCGCTAAACCTAAGGTCTCGTTCTCAACCTCACAAAAAGCTCATCTCGTGATTGTTAGACTGTAGGTCAATTTTATCCCAGATGGAACGCTAACAGACACTTTAAAAATAATGATATTACTCCGATGGTCATCTTAAAACCGGAGATACGGAATGTTGAACATGATCAAGGTCGTAAATATTATTACGTCATGCATCAAACTTTCGCTGCCTTCACAATTTTAGTAGAACATCATAACACACGTGTAGTTTTAACTTGACTCTTAGTGACAGTCACCTGTTCATTGCTTAAAATAAATGAATAAACAAATATTTGGTCGAAAAATGTTGTATTTTTAAATTTTTGATGAGATGAAAGAAGGGGTAGGAATATTTCGGGAATCTAGAATCACTCGTGCGTTCAAAAACAGTCACAGCCATAAAAAAAAAATCCTTTGACAAATTTGGTGATTATGTCAAAAATGCGGCAAAAATTGCAAAAAATAAACAATGCTTCTCTAATAACAGTATACAAGTAAAAAAAGCAAGACTAAAGGAAACTTAAAGCTTCATTTTTGGAACTTTTTTCATACAATAAGTTCTTTCTTTTCTTATTTTCATAAAATAATAGTGAGCAATTGAGAATTGTAACTTGTTTTTAATATATGGTAATTAAGGCAACTAGTTTCCAATCAATGTATGACTCGGGAACAGCCTTAACTTCGAACAAGATTAAAACCTGCTTTTTTTATTATATTTAATGTCTTGAAAACATTAATATTTAATATTTTTAAATATTTTTCAAGTAAAATCACATAATTTATTAAACTTATTTCATTTCCCTGTTTAAACGCATAGCCTTTTATTGTAAAGTTAAACTTATTTCAATGGTCAGGAAAAAAATTCAAAATATTTGAAAATATGAAATATATTTTTGATCTTTGCTCTTTTACAAGAATAAAATGTTTGTTTTTTCTCTCTTAATTGCAATTTGTAATTGATGAAATTAAATTCCAGTACCAAAAAAAAAAAACTTCAATGTTTTAAATTATTTCAAATATTTTAAACATAATATATATTTTTAAAATTTTAATTTTTTTTATTAATAACTTAAAGAAAGTTTGTTAATATTCGCTTTTTTTACGTTTAGTAAAATGTTACAAAAAAAAAATATAATCAATGCTTGCCACTGCAAAAAAGTTCTCAAAAATATGTTCCTAATTTCCTTAAATTCATACTTTGATCAAAAGTTAAAAGTTTGAAAATTACATGCTTGAATCGAATTAATATTTAGATTTTTAAATTTCGAATATTATAAAGAAATTTTAAGTTGAGCTAAAACGCTACTTTAAAATGCAAAACGCTCCTAACTGGCGCTTTTTTTTGGCTGTGAATTCAACGGTTAGACAAAAAAACGGAAGTAACTGTAAGTTACTGACTAAAATACTGACTAAAAATGTAGAATTATCAACTACAAAGATTATTAGAATCTATTTCAGGTTTTTATCAATCTATATTATCAAGATCAAGGTATTAAAAACTATTTCTCAATAAGCCCCTCCCATTACACGATTTCAAATTAGAAATGTGATGGAGAAATCATATGATACATTTATCACAATAATTTGAAAGTAATATTGCAAAAATATTACGGGGAACTAAGTAAGTGATAACGGAAACTTCCGTTATTGAATGACTCTAATTACTATAACAGCAATTTCAAGATTACGGCATTCAATGTAGGAAATGAGGACAATGAAAGAAATTACGTAGTAAGCGTACCTGTTTTGCGACAGATGAAGATTATGTTTTACAGTTAGGGATTGTAAATATATCCCTTATTATATAATTTTGGTTTTTTATAGAACTGTATCTATTTAATCTGAAACAAAATATTTATCAAGCGATTCCAGTTCACACAATCATTATGTTTTAATCTAATTAAACTTGAAAGTTCTAAGACTATAAGCAATGTTCTAAGTTAAGTTAAAAGTTCTAAAAGATAAAAACATAAAAAATCAGCGAAAAAGAAACGAAAAAGAAGACGAAAGGATTTAAATAAAAAACGCAGAAAAATTTATTAAAAATTAAAAAAAAAATTAGGGAATTTAAAAAAATAAAATTATATATTCTAGTCGTCAGCTCAGACTGATTATAATACCATTAGTAAAACCAAAGTAAAGCTAACGCTTTTAAAAACGCTTATTTAAATATTTTGAATCGAATTAAAAGAATTAGTAGTAATATTTATTTATACAAAAAAATATATGAATTTTTAGACACTTGATCAAAATCAATGTTATTTTACAAATGTAATTAAATTTAATACAATTAAAAAAGTAATATATTTTTGTAAAAATTATTTTGTTACCTGGATTAATATTTTTGCCATGTGCAAATTCGATTCGGGCAAGTTGGTGGCAAACAAAAATTAATATTAAGTTCATTAAAATGGTTTGAAATTTTATAACTTACTCAACTTCTTAAGAAACATCCTGAGCGTGTGAAACTTCCTTAAATGGAACATATATTAATAAAAGGATTTATGATTTCTACCAAAATTTATTGGAGCGAAGTATTAATAATTTTAAATGCTTTAAGGGTAATATTGAATTTAAAATTAAAAAAAAAAACATTTTATTATTTTTTTAAAAAAATGGAGTAACATAATCAAAGTTTTATTACGATCCAAATCAAAGGTATTTTCAAGAAGTGAAGTACTTCTTTAAACTTCTTTAACTGGAACATGCATTAATAAAAGGATTTATGATTTCTACCAAAATTTATTGGAGCAAAGTACTAATTTTAAATGCTTTAAAAGGCAATATTGAATTCAAAATTTAAAAAAAAATCATTTTATTATATTTTTTTTAAATGGAGCAATATTATCAAAGTTTTATTATGATCCAACCCAAAGGTATATTCAAGAAATTATGTAAGAATACATTGGAGATGCGCCATGGTCTAAGCAATTGCAACATGGTGATTTACAACGAAAAGAAAGATTAAGATAAAAAAAATTGGAATGTAGTTGCCTCTGTTTACGAAGATTAAAAAGTTGACTTTGAAATTAACAAATATTTTATTGCATCACGTTCACGATAGAATGTCCTGAACGAAGGACGATATCCATAATTTTATTATAAAACGCTCACCATAGATCATCCTCATCGAGGAACGAATAAGTAATAATCATAAAAACAAAACGTTATAAGAAACAATTGCTGAATTGGCGACCTATCTTTTACATGGCGACTACAACGAATTTAGATCCATGACATTTAACAGCCACTATTTTCAGCGGGAAACTAAAATTTTTCACAGTACATGAAATCACATATTTTTTATTTACCTTTTCACTTAAAATTTTTATTTACTTTCTCATTTCTTTGTTTGTTTACTGATAATCTATATTTTCATGCACATTGGAATCATTTTATGGCTTTATTTCAAAAACATGTTTTTAAAAAAAAAGCATTTTTAGCAATATATTTCTTTCAACAATTGTTATTTTGCAAATTTTATATACTTTTTTGTACAATAACTACAGTTATGTATTTAAAAATGTTCTTAGTTTGTAAGGGAAGGTGCTTAATTTTCCTGCAGAATGCGATTTTGAATGAATAAATACAATGTAAACTTACGACTCTATAACATTTAATCAAACATGCACGTAGCACAAAAAGTATATTAACACGAATTTGAATTATGCTTAATAGGGCAGAAACTGATAGAAATTATACAACTTAAAATTACGTCCTACAATTTACAGAGACTTACAAATTGAAGTGTAACTATTCTTATGAGACAACTAAAAGAATGTATACATATAATTTAACTACAAATTTTAGTGTCTTTAGATTAAAGGTATTGAAGACAACCAAAAACATTCGAAAATCCATTATCGATTCTTAACAATTACAGACGATGGGCAAAGCGCGATAATATTGAAATTTTCGGAAATGAAAATATTAAATGTATGAAGGTGCGTGGTCTTGGCGTAAACTTTTTTGCATTTTACGTGTTAAGAGCTTTCAAATACTATTTAAGTTACGTAAGCTCGATTTGTAGTT